CCCCAAAACCCCAAAACCCCAAAACCCCAGAGACCACCGAGACCACTGAAATAATTTTAAGAACCAGTTATTTTGAAATTGGATTTTGACTTGGAATTAGTTTAGGTCTTGGAATTTGAATTGGAATCTGGAGGGGATGACTGGGAGAAATTTTCAGTGTAATCTGGGGAAGAGGGCCTTCGTAACATGGTTGGGTAGTACTCGTCGTTGTAGTCTGGAGGGGGGAGGATGCTGATGTCCTCTATTTCTTCGATGGTACATAATCCTATGTGACTCATTCTGGCTTTGTGTGATTCTGATAATGAGAAGTTGTCACTTTCGATGTTTTCTTTTGAGATTTCTATTTGTGTGTCATTTCGAAGTTTGTGAAAATTTTACATTTTTCGAATGAAGTGAGATGAGAATCAAGAACTGAAGAGAATCTTTAAAGGTATAATTATTAAACGATACGATTTTAAGCATTAAAATGAATTAGTAATGCTTTGAATTCGATTGTAGATTATTCAAGATATTGAGATAAAGAGTATTAAAAATTTAGATATTCTCTCAACCATCCTAAATCCAAAGCACAATATCTTGGCAGGTTTGACCAAAAGCTGCTCTAAAATAGCCTCCAACGCACTGTTTGGCTTATTATTTCAAAAAATTGTTTCCTAAAATTGTTAGCCCCTTCTCTTGGGGTGCTAGGTGCTAAACTAATTTTAATAGCGAAACAGAAGAGCTTACCTTCTAGTTTAACTTCTTCTGATTGGTGATCAGGAAATGCTTTCAGGTATGGCTCTAGAGGAATATTTATGGGGATTTAAGGATTTTTTGATACCTCTTTCAGGTGTCATTATAATAAATGGAGAGTTTATAGCAGGCTCTAGGAAGATTTCAGTCTCATTTATAGGCCTATCTGTCATGGTCTCTTGGTTTATTGTCATTGTTTCTGGGGGAACTTCTGGTTGGACTTCAAAGGTTGCAACATCAAACACAACTACTTTTCTTCTTTCTATGAACACCAAGTTAAATACTAGTTCAATCTCTTCATCAGTTATTAAAAATAATTAAGTGCGAACAATATTTTACTTTTCTTGGGTTTCACTGCCTTCTTGATTTCTGGCTATATCATTAGATTAATCATTTTTAATTTTAGTATTTCTAGCACAGTTAACATGACCTGAATGTGCCAGTCTCCAGCTGCTTGAAAGATCTGAGTTCGAAGAATTAATTTTAAGATGATGGATTTACCTTGCTTTCTTGTTTTAAATAATCACCAATTTCTATAGTATTTAAAAGTAAAATTACGATTGTAGATTTTGAATCCTTGGATACAATTTCCACACTAAATTTAAAATTTAAGAAATACCGACTGAAGGAGGATCACTATTGATGTGTTTGAGAATATTAGAAGAACTATTAATGATGCTGAAAGGTCTATATCTTATGAGAAATCAACTTACATCCCTCATAATCATTCTCATGGTTCATTAGGCCAAATATCAGAATGAATACAAACAAGAAGCTCTCATTTATCTTGTAAATACTGTTCAATACCCACCATTCAAATTTGGGAAACATCCAAGTTTGGAGTAGGTAAAGAAATTGACAAAAGAGAAGGATTAGGAATAAGAACCATGACATTCCTTTTGGGAAACTCTCAAATATAACAATCAAAAATGTAAAGACAAAGATCCTAGTCAATACAAGAGGGATATGAAAAGCAACGAATGGCTCTTTTGATAGATGAGTGAGCAACTCTTCATAAAACACAGGCTCTTCTATATCTTTGTAAGTATACAACCTCTTACTTATCTGATCATTATCTTGATTCTGATCCTCATTTTCCTCATCCTCACCCCCTTGCACCTGACAAACCTCTTGAGATCGATCAAACCTCATTATAAACTCACAAAATCACACTGACCACACAAATCAATAAAATCCAAAATACACGCCCAACAACACAACAGAGCACATCACAGATACCAATTCCACCTCCCCACCTACAACCACCATCTTAACTTCACTCATGGCCACTATCATAACCCCCATGAACGACTCTATCATTCCTCTAATAAACAGGAACCAAAAAATTTCAGGTTTAAAAAACCCAGTGGCCCTCGACCACAGCCATGAACATGATAATCTACAGCATAATAGGCATCAGCCTTTTTTTATTCTTTGGGGGCGGATGTCTTCTTCGAGGGAAGAGAGGTCTTGGGAGTTGGGATTTGAGGAGTTTAGGTGGTGGGCTTCTAGATTTTGGGGGTTAGGGGTGGGATTGGGGGTTAGGGAAGAAGGGAGGGTGGGATAGGGAGGGTGTTATGGGGTGTGGATGGTGGAAGAATATGTTTAGTTAGTCTTTTGCTAGTGGTATGATGGGGGAAGGATTAAATTTGTGCAATAAAAATTATGAAGAAGGTATTTTAAAGCTGTTTTTAGAAATGTGATAAATATTTCAAATTAGAGTAATAAACGCTTTCTTATTTTGGGCTCCCATAAAAATTTCTGACGTCTTATTTTTCAACACAAAAATTTCATGGAAAATATTTGTCTTTATTTAGGTCATAGAGAAATATAAAGATAGTCTAAGAAAGATAAAATCTTTTCTTACCCTGCAAATCTGAATCATCAATATGATTTTCATATTGTCCAACCATTCCTGTATCAAGCCTGTTTAAACTCTCTTCATTTCTGTAGATTAGATCTCTTATGTCGTCATTAAAATTGTTTAGTCGATTCTTGGAATCCATTTCTCCCTTACTTTCCTCACTAGACCCACCTTCGAGCTCTATTTCAGCTCTTATTTTATTATTTGCTCTCTTTCTTTTCCACACTTGACATACTTTCCTTACAGTGCCAGCAATGGCATGGACAATAACTAATATAAAAAGTCCAAGGAATAACTTCCAGTACTCTCTGAAGGCACTTTGAGTTTCAAATCCAATCCCTTTCAGAGACTCTGAACTCTGAGGTTTGTCCATAAATCCTTCAATAAAGAATGGAGACAAGATGAAGTCAGGGAGAAATCCATTCATAAAGTCTAAGTCCATAACTACGAAACTTTGTTGTTGGATTAAGAATTCAATGTCAGCATCAAAATAAATATCAATAAGCAGTATGAGAAGCAATAATTTCTGTTGATTAAAGACCATCCAAACTCCTTGGATCAAAGATCCTCCCAATAAAGCAGATAGGAAGGATATTAATATTCCAATAACAAAAGTTCCAATTTGAAGATATTTTAACATTGAAAATACCTCTAAATTTAAATTACATCCCTAAAATTTTCTAAAATACATTCTCTCTCAACTAACCATTCTCCTTATCAAACTCCCTAATACTACCATACAAGGCAACTAAGCTAGCCCTCATAACAAAACCTCAGGAAACTAACGAAGCAGTAATAAATCTGTTATGCCTTGCCAAGAAGCTCAGAGTCTACTTTTAATAGCAAAGTGCTCTTAATTTGAACAAGAACAGAAGAAATTAGGAGTATGAGCTTACCTTTGTTTGGTGTTGCTGTAATTTTGATGTTGTGCGTCCATGAATAGTTGTGGGTAGGAAGCTGTTTGTGTGTACCTAATAATATCGTCAGAATTTATTCCAAATGGAAGATTGATTTATCTTATCAATGAATTAGGTATTAGATCCTCATCTTAGCATAAGCTTGAATTAGAAATCAAGAAGGGCAAGATAAAAATTTTATTAAACCAATCCTCTTCAAGTAACCTTTCCAAAGTAAGCCTTCAAGTATTAGGCTAGCTTTTGCATTCTCGTGCTTTATAGAACTACTCTTGTAGTTTAAATGAATAATCATGCTCTCTACTAGTTTATCGAGAATGGTATACACAGACACATTGATTCCCCTTTAATATGAGTAATAAAGACTCAAGAATGTTCCCTAACTTTTAATAGAATGGATTAAATTATCGGACTACTGATAAAACTTAGTCCTACCAAAAAGTTGCTCTAATTGATTTATCTTTCTTCTAGAATACTCCTCATTTACTCTTTTTTATCAAGACAGAAGATTATTCAGCTGAGCCTTCTACCCTTCAAATATATAGCCTGGATAATAATACACTAAGGACAATCAGCCCAACACTATGCTTTAGAAATCCTAGAAATTTCTTCAAGGAATAGACATGTGTCTAAAGGTCTTTCTGTCTATCCTAAGAGTTTCATATTTATAACCTTCAGTGCACTCCCAAGCATCCTCAAAAGATCGAATTGCAATTTTAACTATCAGATGGAAATATCTCTAGTTAATTCTAATTTCTTCTAACCAGAAATACAGTCAAACAGACCTATTCACACCTATCCAATTCCATTTCCAATTATCTAATCCTATTGCTGTAAGATAATCGAAAAATTTTGGTTAATTTTGAACCCTTCTGCTAACTTAAAACTAGAGCTTAAATACAAACAATGTTTAGTGGCTTCTGAACATTACGCCGATCTTAGCGATTATAAGTAATGGAGCTATATCAAGCTCTTTATTTTAAGGATCATTTAAATGAATTTCACATTTGGCTCATGCTAAATGCTATTGCTGTATTCTCCATTCTACGTTATTCATATTTGTAATAAAGTGTTTAAAATTGCTCTGTCCTTTAGTTATGAGTTTTCTTTGATATTAAACAGAAATAGAGAATGATTAAAATATGAAGATTTGTATAGATGTGAAAGAGATGCAAGAAGGATCTGGTAGGGTATTACATGCTCATGGCAACACTTCGACTGGATGTCTCTTGAAGACTCTAGGATTTAAGAGTCTTTGAGGAGGACATTTTATTGAGAATTTTCAAAGTAGTTTATTCTAAAGATCTTCATGTTCAATTATCTTCAGTACTTGACCGGATAATTACTTTTAAATGCTTAGAACCTCTAAATATTTTTTAACTCCCTTGCTTTCATCATTAAAATTGTGGCTGCGAATTATGCAAATTTATGATCAAAGATTTTCGAGCTACATTGAGACCTTTTCAATTTTCTCTAATCTGATTTGACCAAAATCACATTACTTGTTCTCAACAGTTAAAAAGAGGAAATACAGCAAAGCCAATAGCTTTAAAAAGAGGAGTAACATTTTCAGATAAATTCTTATTATGATAAGGTTTGTTAAAAAGCTCTAATAGTTAGAATAATTATATCAAGAATAACGTTTACAGTAAAATCAAAGAATGGGTGAGATATTTCTACTCATACCCATATTCTTCATAACATTCCATTTAAACGAGGAGACTTTCCTACAATTAGAGTAACTTTATCTAATAGTGTTTAAAATATGCTCAAACAACAAAATCACCCATGATCTTTGCTTCACAAATCTGGTTTAAATTTAAGTTAAACAGCTATACTACAAAGCTTCACTTACTTATAAGAAATTCAGACTGTACTATATCATTGTTTGCATTCTTTGGACTGAGAATAGTAAGATTTCCAGTTTCAGGATCAACCGAGAGAGTATATCCGAGAGCTTCATTTGGTTTTAATTGCTTGATATCATAATTTAATTTTCCAATTCCGCTAATAGAGAGAGGTGGTCAAAAAGGAGTGATTGTAAGCTTCCCTGATGTTATGTTAAAATCTTTTTCTGAGTCAATAAATATGAAATCATCCACATAAGTTCGAGAAAGCTATTATTAAGTTAACCAAGAAACTAGGATACTTACATTTAGTGATAGATCAACATTTGGGTCATATATCGCAACTGATGAAGATTTCATGATATTTAATGTAGTAAGATTTGATGATAATCCAGTAATGAGAGAATAAGGAACATTAGGATAGACATCAAAATTCAAAGTATAAGAATCAAAAATGTCTATGGCTCCATGATCTATAATACAATATTTAATACAAGATAAATTTATGAAAACAAGGCACCATTGCTTTTAAAATTTAGACTTAAAATAATTGCTATAAACGGTAAACAGTTTAATGATATAAACAGTGTTGATACCACTCAAATTCATAAAATCCTAAAACTCTTTTTAAAAGATTCAGTTCAGATAGTGGCTAGCTAAAGTTCTGGGTTTTGCTAGTTGGACTATCTATTATCCTAAAATGATGATCTGCTCAAGTGAATTATTCAGACTGCTATTATTTACATATACCATATCATAATTGCTACATAATGAGAGCTCTTACCATAATCAAAGGTATATACCTCAAGATTGTTTTTTACATTTGCAATGTATATATCTCTAAATGTTATTGTAAGAATGTTAGAAACAAATTGTCTATCTTGAGGCAAAATTTGAAACCAAATTTTGCCTCAAGATTATTAGTTTACTAATTTTTAAAGATTATTTTCAACTGGTAATTCTAAGCTTTAATGAGGATGAAATTTAATTGAGTTTTATGATGCTTAATAAATTGTAAGAAAATTTTATATTCAAACGCTTTAAAATAACTAAAAATAGCTCTGTTTGATGCTTTAGTAAGATGTATAGACAATTTTCTATAATTAAAGCTTTTCTGAGAACTTCGATGATTTAAAATGTTTAGATTTTGCTTGACTCTAAAATCAGAGTTTGAATGTGAAATGCAAAATATTACCTTTGATCAGTTATACGAAAGTTATAAAGCTGACTAAATGCGACTCTCTTTCTGAATCTGAATTCATGCATAGTTGTATCATATTTTATAATATCAAACCAGCTATGGGTGTCTTGAAATATAACCCATATTGCCTTGTTATCTTTTCTAGAAAATATTATTTGAGATAAACTCTAAAAACTGGATTGTAAAATATTCTTACGTTAAAACTAAATTATTTTTCAATGTCCCCTGGTAATAATAAATACGATAATGCACAATTTGTGAAACATCATGATCGTCTCTGTTAATAACTAATCTTGTAAATATTTGGTAGTATCTCTCTTCGTATAATGCATAATAAGTCCTAGCATCTTCCCCTCTTGTTATTTTTGGGTTTATTAACGTCTCCATTAATCAATTAGCAGCAATATTGATTCAGTCAAATGTAAGGTGAGTTTTAAGACCTAAATTATCAAGATCAAGTTCAATAAACGATATTCTAGTCTGGTCCGAGTAGATAGCCTATGTTTAAAATTCTTTCTTACTAGTAATCCTTTCCGGTAAGGATGTAAAGCAATTTGTTGTATATTCAGAGGAGAAGATGAAAACCCAATTTTATTTCAAACTGAGTGTTGCCATTTTGAATACAAAACATTTATCTTTCAAATTCTTGAAGCTTCAGAGTTGATATCAAAATGTACATCTACACAATAAAGAATTAAATTAGTTGATAGTTGGGATTGATCAAGTTTTAGGGATTTTAGGAATACTTACAAATGTAAATATCATCAGTAGACTTTATTGAGACAACACTTGTCAGTGCATGCACATTTTCACTATACCAAAGTTAGAATTAAAAAGTAGCAAATTTATACTAAATCTCCTACTCTGCTGGCAATACAGGCTAAAGCTCTTCTAGATTTCTAAAACAATTTCTGACTAGTAATAATTAAAAGGTTTAGCCTTAAGAAATTGATTCTAAATTTTATGCAGCAAGATGAAGGTCTCTATGTTTAAATAGAGCTAAGGTTTTAATAGAGTTTATATGAGTATATTTTAGAAGAGATTGGGATTTTATAAAATGTTAGGAACATTAACAATATTAAAAATTTTACTCTAATTAAGAAATAGAAAATACAGATAGGGAAATGTACTTACATTGAGATGGTATGAGAATACGTTAGACTTCTTGAACTAATATTGTAGATATTAAAAGTAATAACCTCCACCTGGACCTGTAACAGATGTTCAAGAAAATAGCCCATCTTCATTTGGATTGACTGTAAAACTCTGAACTTCCGGAACCTGCGCTGTTGACCAATTAATGGTCATATTAAAAGTATCCAACATCGAAAATACCGTCCCCTGATAGGAAGTACTTTTCGACATCAAATAAACACGTCCTTCATTCCCATTAACAGCATCCTCAAGCCACATATCATCAAACTTAAATGCAAACTTATTATCTCCAACAATACCATCCTTCTTCGCAATCTCTCTACAACTTTTCCTATAAAAATCAATTAAAAAAAAATTCTTCTTAATTTGCCTTTAGGCTATTATTCCAGCTGGAATTTGACTATTTAAACTTTTCAGGAACAAAAAGGGCGGCTTACGTTTTGGCTTGGACTGTTGGGGTTAGTGTGAGGGGGTTGGGTAGGAGGAAGTAGAGGAGAAGGATATGAATGGATTTGGGTAAAGGGTTTGGAAGGGTGGTGGGGGTGCGGTTAGGGGGGAGAGGGGGTGGAGGGAGTTTGGGTGGGTTTGGGATAGCTAGAGGTAGGTGAAGAGGCAAGAGGGGGAGGAGGAAGGTTTAGTTGTAGAAAGTCTTACTTTTGATCTCCATATTTAATTTTTATAAAAATCCCAATATTTCCTCCCCAAATCGGGGTTTTGGGGTTTTGGGGTTTTGGGG